CGGTTCGAATAATTCCAATAAGAAAAGGGCAGGTTCCCGGCGCCGTAGCTAATTGTGCCTACAAAGCGTTTTCCTTTTACATCGAAGATACAGAGACGGCCATTGGTCCATTTTAATGAGCTCCGATCAATGGGCGTAATTATTTCTCGTATCATTCTTTGTCTGCGACGCGAGCGCGCTGTCAACTCTTATGGTTGTAACGATGCGCATAGGCGCTTTTTGCGCGAGTTTTAAGCAAACTGTAGTAACTCTAGTATGGGTTTGTAAGTAAAGACTTACTTGCAAATGCTAGTGGGCGTAACTCAATTTATTTTTTAACTCGTGCCTTTAAAGGCTTATAGAATACTAATTAATGGCGCGTCGTTTGTTGTAATCATTATAACGATTACAGGTAGTAAGTTCGAGTGCTACCGGCTCCAATATGAATGTAATTTTTTTTCTGATTTTTGTACATGTTATCTGATATTTAATTCTTACGAGTAAATAAAAATGTCTAAACTTTAAATGGCTAGTTGCGAACAGCGAAGTATCAGACAGGAAAAGTTGCAAAACGATAATCTGTCTTTCGTTTTGAGTCTGTGGATTTCCGAATGTTCAAAGGTTTTTCAAAATGTTCAAAATAAATACACAGCATCTCTTCATTAGATATTATATGGGGCTGGGGCTGTCTGTATGTCCTGCTTCTCCGTCCCTACCTGACATAAAACTTACGTTTTCGTGGTTCATAAAACTCGTACTAGGCCCTCTAAGTTCGCATCACCAATTACGGTGCATTTGTGGAGGTGCTGCATGTTTAACAATGAATAACAAGCTATTACCGTATAGAGCTGCGGTTGTCAATTTAATGAGATAGCTGCCTGCTTGGAACGCATCAAACAGATGTTTCAGATTTCGCGGTGTCGATTGCCATACCGGGTGAAGATTTAATGCTTTTGAATCGCTAAGTTGGGATGCAAGGGACATTCTCTAAGCGAGGAGGCGGGACGCGCGGTGGCTCAGCGAGCTGGAAAATAATATGAAGTAATCATTTGGTTAAACTATTGTTTCTTATTTATCTTTAGTAATAAATGTGATTGGGTTTAGTGTTTGTATATCAAGATACAAAATGGAAGAATTATCAAACTGTATCGCTTGTATTATTAGCACGGCCTGTGATGGGGCACAGAATATCAGTCAATCATATCATTAAAACGCAAAATGTATAATAATTATTTTCGCTTCGGTCCGACGTTTCGGATGCTTAGCTTTCGCGTGTCACATTTTAAGCCGTTAATTTTTTTTAATTTTAATAATTCCTTTTTTTCTTATGAAATTATTTACATCCCTTTGATATATTTTTCTATTGTGCCTTCACCTGTTTATCTTTTTGCGCATTTATTTCAAAGTAAGTGTTACATACATAGAACAATCTGAAATCCCGCTTCCAGACACAGAAGACCACTCACGTTAGTGTTTCACTAAAATTCTTATTAACAGATGTATAGCATGGATGATTCGACCTTCCAAAGACGTTCAATGGCCTTCGTGTCTGGATACACATCTTCGTTTTAATTTTTATAAGATAACAGTCTATATGCATAAACATTTAATATAGTTGCGATAACGTTAATATTTTTTTATTTGTTTTGAATTCGAAATATGATGTGTCATGGAATGGAATTGGAAGTAGTATATTTCCCAGGGATTAGAACCCGGGCTCTGTCGTAGGCTCGTTTAAATCTTAGGTCTTATCTATACTAATATATAAGGCTGAAGAGTTTGTTTGTTTGAACGCGTTAATCTCAGAAATTACTAGTTTGAATTGAAAAGATATTTTTGTGTTAGAGAATTTATCGAGAAAGCCTATAAAAATTGCGCTGTTACTAATAGAAGCGAATAAACAACGGGAAATGTGGAAAAAACGGGGAAAATTATACAAAAAAGTATTAATAATAGAATGATTAATTCTCTTTAAATGATCTAAAACAGTTACGGGAGTAGTATATGTCTTTCTTTTAAGATTAACTTGCAAGAACTATAAGAAGCGGAGTCGCGACTAACGTCGTGAGTCAAATTTGTCTCCCCGTGACCACGGCTGCTGCAAAACATCCAAAAGGGGGGGCGGGGGTTAAAAATTTTTTTAAAAAAATTTTAAAAAAAAATTTTTTTTTTTAAAAAAAAAAGTTTTTTTTTTTTTTTTTTTTTTTTCTCTAAAAATTATTTTATAAAGTTGAGATGGAGGTTTGCAAAACCAAACTCTGATACCCAAAATAACTATTCTACGCGAACGAAGTCGCTGTCACAGCTAGTAAAACTAAAAAACTGTGTGAGAAGTCATATAAAGTTAAATCGCGCGCATTGATTAAATTATGTTTCAATACGCCGCTGTCATTTGTTTAAATTATTGGCTCTCATTACACACATTTACTTGTAATGCAGATAAGCAGCAATCGGCAAGCTACGTCGGCCCCTAATTAAGCTTCAATTTCTTAATCTTATAATTGAAATGTTAAGTTCCGAAGATAACTCGTCCGCTTTTTGACTTGCGTCGGATTAAGCGGCCATCTTTGATAGTGGATACAATTTCTTTGCAATTTATTTTTATATTCGACTTTATTTAACTACTAGCTGTGCCAGCGACTTCGTTTGCGTAGAATAGTTATATAGGGCATGAAAACTTGATAATGCAAACCTCCGTCGCATCTATAAATTATAGCTATGATACCCACGTTATTCTTAAAAGATAGACATATAGTGACGGAAACATTTTTTAGACGATTTAAAAAGAAATAATTTTTAATACATATCTTTTGGCTATCTTGAACCGTTTTCGTAGCGCTCGTACCATTGGGTTGCATCGTTTTGTTTTATAGCTTAAAGCCTTTAATGAATTCTCTAAGCAACATAATTTTTTTTTCAATTTAAACCAGTATTTCTTGCAGTTTTCCATATTTGTATAGATTGAAAGAGTATTTGTTGATGTGTTATTAAGCAACTTGAACTGCTAACAAAAAAAAATGCAGAAAAAAGTTTCGCTGGACCTGGGATTTGATCTCAGAACTATGTGACCTGGCAGTCGAGTTGATAACTGACTAGAGCAACAAGGCAGTTTTCAGACAGGATAAATAAAAAATAGATACATCAGAATATGAGCCTCCTATAGGTCACGTATAATTAATGATAGAAGTGAATGTCAATCATTATGAGCAAGTTATTACTAAGTTATTATCGCCTGTAATTAATCAGTGTCGATCCGAATCAATGCTCAATCGAAATACATCTTATTTTATATTTGTAACACGCTTCGAAAAATATAACAAATTAGATTAGCGATCTCGTAACAAAAAAGTCGATCCTGAGTCACTGAGAGTCTTTTAGTAGCTTTGAAAAATGACTACGAAAGCCTTACGCAATTTACAATAAATATTGTGTTATTTTTACTAATAAAAGTTGCAACTTGATTTTATTCGTTTATCTTAGATGGAAGTTCTAATTTAATTTAGTCTATTTTAAAAACATATTTTTATCGTACATTTACGTACTTTGTATTTACAAACAAGACTGTTAGCCTAAAATTATGTATAATGGGAAAGATTATATTTATGAAAACAAGCTTATCAATGTAATGAGATTCAAATTTATAAATAATTGCTAGAGATGGGCCCGAATGTAATCGGTACCGAAACCGTAATTCCGCCAAATGCAATTCGGTTCACGTATGGTGTAAACTCTAAAAAGAAATATTAAAAGAGATAAATGGGCCGTAAAGATTAAATTAATTCTAACAGTATTATTAATCTATAGTCTATACTAATATTATAAGCATGCAGAGTTTGTTTGTTTGAACGCGCTAATCTCAGGATCTGCTAGTAGGAATTGAAAAGTTATTTTGTCTTGGTAAGAGAATTAATCGAGGAAGGCTTTAAAACAACAGGCAGCAACCAAGAAGAAGCAGAGAAACATGGAAACGTGGAAAAGACGAGGAATTCAGCTTTGAGGGCTTCCGTTACGTGCGCTGCGATAATGGTTTAAGAAACCAAAACATATGTATGGAAGATTCTTCTCCAAATAGGTAACGGCTATTTTCTATAAAGATGTGGAGGTTGTTTGCAAAAATAAATAGTACGATGCCCAGATGAAGTGGGCACAGATAGTTACTTAATACGCAATTACTAAATATCTGTGATACACATATATGTAATATATACAAAAACAAATTAACAGCACCTATAGACATATTTTTATAGTGCATAATAAACTTTTTTCTCTCGTTCTGCCCATCCCTATAATATAATAGCATTAATTCATTTTTCCATTTCCATTGTTACGGGAAGATACGGGTGAGCGGGCGAGCGTGTCCGATATGGTTCCGCTACTTCCATTGTTCCTCGGCTAATTGAATCGATGCCACTGATAGATTGTGCCGTGCTAACGTGCCGAATCGAACCCGACGCGTGGATTTAGAAGGCTTGAGAGCCAACGAATTATAACTTCGGTTTTGATGGTAAAATATTTTCTACAGATAATAATTTTAGATTCAACGAACGCTGATGAGATTTGAGTTGATTTTGTTTACGATATCCCGTTTTCTATGTGGGGCATTATTCTTTTCTTTCTTTGCTATGCAAATTATCGTTGACAGAGGCTGTATGTTCGACCTTTGTTTTTTTTTTGTATAGAAAGCAGCTCTACCAAAGGAGCACGCTGAAGTTTGCCCTTGAAGTTTTGGTCTAGGGTTTCAGTTACGTTCTGAGAGACTTCTATAGGCATTTTTAATATTGACATAATATTTCAATATTGAAATGTTATGTCAATATCAAAATGACATATGTCAGCTGTCACTTGTATGTGTGTACAATGTACAAGTTAGAAATAAATTAGTCTGCTTTGAACACTGAATCGAGTTTCTTTTAATTTTAAGTAATACTTACGGCACTCGGTAGAAGTGAAGAAAAAAAAATCAACATAAAAAATATTTAATTCCAATTTTCGTTCTGGCCACATTTAAAAAGTTTAGGCGTCTATTCTATACTAATGGGCTTTGACATGTCAGGTTCATAATGCATGTCTAAGGATCGAGTTCGGACAATTTCCTTGTAGACGTATGCCGATTTACGTGGTGTGCGCGTGCGCTCAGGGCTGTTCATATCCACTTCATATAGTCCGAATTTATTCCTGCAAAATATAAACAAATATATAAAAAGTCACTTGACTGTTGTTTTATCTACGCTTAAGTGTATGAGGCTTTCGCGGCTATATTCTAGCACTTTCTGGATTTTCAGGCTGTTAGATATGCTCTACCTATTTTTACATTAAAATTATAAAAATGAAAATATGTTTAGGCTATCGTAGAACTTAAACGATTTTTTTAAAGGTCTAAACCATACAACCAAAAGATGCGCTGTGGACTATTTTGTCTTTGGATATTCCGAAATCCATAGACTGAAACCGAATAGCTAATTAAACGTCACGGCTATTTTCCATATATGGATGGTGGTCTGTAAGACGAACGGAATATCGATATTCGTACCACCCATTTCAAGTCTAGATTTCCAGACGAATCCTAGAAAGAAGATGGACCTGATGGAAATCGAACCCACTAGACCCGTAGATTAACTGCCATATATTGCTACCATGAGAACAACGAGCTTGTCAAATTTGGATATAGAGTTTTATTTATGAAAAACTTTATATCCGTTTTAAGCGACGATAGCGTTTTATTATCTGAATCTTAATTTTTTAAATGTATTGTATGGTATGAACTATATTTTTTTATGTAATAATTTTGCTTATTACCACAGAGTAATATAAATAAAGATACTTACGAGTAACCTTGCAGCCACTCGAAATTATCCATCAGACTCCAGGTAGTGTAGCCGCGAACATCGCAGCCTTCGTCCATGGCATCCAACATCGCGCTAAGGTAACCCTTATAGTATTTTACACGGTCATCATCGACCAAACCGCCGTCGTTTCCTCTTCCGTTCTCAGTTACAAATACTGGTGGGTTACCGTACAGTTCGTTAATTGATTTCAATAATTTCTTAAATGCCCATGGTTTACCCTAAAAAAAAAACTATTTAGATAGAAATATTTTTTAAGACATAAAGTGTATACCTCAGCCTCATAACATAGGGAAGAAGCACTATATTTTGTCTATGGATATTCATAAATGCACAGACTAACAACGAAACGTGATAATATTGCTTTGAAATGAATTTAAGGACCTTTAATTGCGGCTTTACAGTGACGCCTTTATTTAAAAAGAAATATTATGTTACAATCTATATTTTAATTTAATCTGATTTTTTTTGATATTCTTTTACGAACTTACAATAAGTTACTTACTGAGTTTTTTACTATAGGATAGTGAGAGTGCCACACCCTATAGTTACAACACAGATTATATTTACAATACGAATAACTCGGTACGACAACTGACTAATTTTTATTGCAATAGCGCGTAGCATGTGTTCTACGGCGCAATTGTTTTTGGCTAATATAGAACAGTAATCAAATTATAATCTTAATTCTACTTAAATAAAAGAAATATGTGGTTTGTGGTGATTTATGGATTATTAATATAATAATGAAGATTTAATTATTTTCAAAGTAATAAAATGTTGTTATCTACGATAGATTTTACTTCAGACAATAATTACACTGCGTGGATGCCTGCATGACATTTGCAGGCAATCATGGAGTACAAATATTTCCCGCGAACTGCAAATATGACGACATTAAAACACTTTCTGAAAATTTGACCGATCCCCTACTATGGTATTTTTTTGTGACTGTGGAGGAACCGACAAAACAACATCAATTAACATAAAAAAAATAAAAAACTTTTACTTACAACAGTGTTCGGTTCATCTTCTTTATTAAAAGTTACAACACCCATATCGTCTGCAAGCGATGGTGCTTCATAATAACCAATCGCTGTTTCGTTTCTATATACGTAAGATCCATAATAATGGTTTAAGCCGAAATAGTCCGATGTACCACGCACGTATTCCACCTCCTCAGGAGTGAATTCGGGCAATCTAGATCTTGCAAAGCCCTGTGCCTTACTATTCGCAGCAATTCTTTCCTTCATGACGGGTGGAAAGTCGCCAGTTTCCGAAAATATGGGGTGCGTGTACTGACCCCACTGAAATCATTATTTTATGTTAGTTAATGTAAATACATGCCACAGGCTCATATCCCACCAGAATGAACTTTTCAGCTTTCGATCATACCACTATACCATGTACCAGAATTGTGAAAAAATAAAAAGAAAAAAGTTTATATAATTAATAAACTAAATGCTTCGCAGACGATGTTCAATTTAACTCATATTTATTTTTTACATTAAATAAATATATGTATGAATCAAAACGTTGGACTGAATTTTACTCAACGTATTACTCGAATCAGTATGTTGTCTTCAAATGTTAGTTCTTAAACTATAAACCACAGAAATCTGATAGATGTACTTACGTTAAATTGGTTAGCTTCGTTAGCCGCTTCCACATGATCTTCATTTTCAGGCTCAAACCAGTGAGCACTAACAGTTATAAAGATAGAACCACCCTGTTTCGGTCTGAACTCGTCATTATAAATGTGATATGCCTTCGCGTGGCCCAACAGTAAGTATTTAGCGCATAAGTACTCAGGATATCCAGTGATATTTAAAACTGGTGCTAACTCATATGCTCCGTAGCCAGAATGACAGATTTGGTACGGTTCGTTGATTGTAATCCAATGTTTCACCCGATCACCGAATAGGTCAAAGGCTACTTTAGCGAAGTCGCCATACCACTCAACAATGTGTGGATTGGTCCATCCACCTAGCAGCTGTAGCTTCTGAGGTAAGTCCCAGTGGTACAGCGTAATCATCGGTGTGATGTTGTATTTAAGCAACTCGTTTATTAAATTATTGTAGTATTGGACACCTGCTTCGTTGATTTTGTCTGGGAACCCGGTGGGGAGGATTCTGGTCCATGAAATTGAGAGCCTGTAAAAATCTACGCCCAGTTCGCGGAGCATTTCTACGTCTCTCTTGTATTGATAGTAGGAGTTGTCCGCGACATCTCCGCTGTCACAGTTCTTGATCACACAAGGTTCTTTGTGACTCAAGTAATCCCAGATGTTTTCAGATTTACCTAAAACATAACTTTTACGTTACCCTCGTTTCTGCTATACTTCAGCTTCATTCAGATTTACTGAAATTATAGTATCAGTTATATATAAGCTGTAAATGCTTCCTTGGCGCCTTATTATACAATATTCTTAAGCAGATCTATAGTTTCAAAATTATCTTTTGTTGATTAATGGAATTGTAATATTGTAAAAATACTAACATACCATCTACATTCCACGCTCCTTCTATTTGATAAGAAGCAGTAGCCGTACCGAAAAGGAAACCATCGGGGAAATTTTTTGACTTCATGGCGTACCTCGCCAGCCTGCACCGCTAAAAAGCAGAGGCTTACTGAAAACCTAGAAAAAAATGACTAGTAAGTTTCGTTAGCTCAATTTAAATTTAGAATCGGATGCTCAACACTCACAAAAATTCTAGTACGGCCATCTCGATACATCTCAGTGTATAGTACGCGGGTGGTACTTTTATATGATTACGAAATATCTTATCGTTTAAGGGACATACTTAAATTAAGCCCATCGTCACATCAAAACGGAGCGTTTCAAAAACAAAAGATAAACGTGTTATGTCATATTCGCAAAGATAGTCTAAAGCACTCAGATAAAGAATTAACTTCAATACTTGAAAGAAAAAAAATATTACAATCTAATATTGATTGCCAAAATTTGTTGACACGAGTAGGGAAAAGAAGAAGGTACCGTGTTCCGTTAGTTTTCATCGATGTCTTTCAATCGAAATAAATTTGTAGTATATATATATGCTGCTCTGTGCATTAGTAACATTAAAAAAAGGGCTTAATGTTTCAAATCATTTACGTGATTTACCTACATTGGTCCTTAAATACTAGAATCATTTCGTTTCTATAATAGCTGCAGAATGTTTGTAGTTTTTATGTTATGAGACAGATGAGACGTGGTTTTGTGTCTATATAATTATTCGATTTTACTTTCAGGTAGATGGTGGTAAACTGCAAGTTCTTTGTGTCCACAGGAATCGAATTCAGAGCTTCTTTCGTCCAAAGAATAAACATCACTGATGGTGTTTTAAGAGAGTTCATAATATATATATTGCCCTAATATTCATATTTTTAAGATGCATACTAAGTTATTAAGTATTAACAGTAATCTAAAGGCTATCAGCTTTTTTAGTAGTCTATAATGAAAAATATTATGTCATGTCCTTATACCGTGATAATTTTATTAAAATTTTTGTTTACTTCTTCTTACTTAGTATATTCGAGAATAAAATATCCAATCTAAATATCATAGATAAAGACAATACACAAGTTTATTTTTGTTGTAATAGTACTAGATACTTTAACAATATTTGACATAAGAATCGATAAAGAAAATTTTAGAATACTAGTATAAGTAGACGGGTATTAAGAAGTCTGTTTTACGTAACTACTTGTAGATATGACGTATATTTTCAGATAATGACGATAGCAGCTCAGAATAAACGCGAGTGTGACTACCGCACGAAGTGTTGCGTTGTATTGACCGGTAACAAAATTTAAATTTTGAATAACATATTTTTAACGGTTTAAAACGCGAAATACATTAGTTAAACTTATTTACAAATCATTTTGACTGCGGCGGTTGCTTTACAGCAGACGGAGGTTCTTGTCCTAAATGTCAAACTAAAAACTACCCTAGCGCCATCTGTTCCGTCGTAGATGGTATTTGGCGAAACTGGCTGGGTCCTTGCAGAACTGACTTGCATTGTCCCCTCGTTTATCGGTATGCTGTTTTTTGGAACCTATTATTTTCAATATGGGATCCCAGGTGTTATGACCCTTTACATATATCAAGTTGTTGGTATACTATATACAATAGAGCAAAAAGCTCCCAATTTGAATTATAAATATTTACTTCAAGAATCTTTACACTTGTAATAGTGTTTCAGTAAAAGGGTTCCTTTTTTATCCTTTGGGTTTAAACCTAAAAAGTAATATGCACATTAAATAAAATGCACTCCTGAAACATGGTGGGTCAACAGTGATATGAGGAGATCCTGTACCCAAGTGTGGGACTGAAATAGGTTGAAACGAAATATTCTATTGCTTATATGAGTTAAAATAAAGGTGTACACGCACTTCTCACTCTGGCATAACAGTGAAGCGAATTTCAAAACAAGACAGGTAGGGCCGTAATTACCCCCTCATAAAAGTGGCGATAAAACCTCGCTAGAGAACTTTCATTGCAAAGTTATGAGGGAGCTCGTCTGAACGTTATGGGTTTCGAGATGAGGCTAATTTATTGTCTTCTATTTGTAGCTTTGTTATTACTTAAAGTTTGCCTTCAAACATAACGTCGATATTTATTATACATAAACAAATATTTATAACCGTTTAAAAATATCTTTGCGCGTTGATATAAACTTGTTTTCTGTAGTGTCGTGCTTAAGATGGTTTAAGATACAGTACGCAGATAAATAATAAAGAAAATACTATATTTTTTAAGACAATTGAAAAAACTAGAACTGGAAGTTGAAATACCGTAAACATTTAACATTTAAACTAGATACGTTGTTCTTCTATTTTGTTTAAGACATCGGTATTAAAGTCCGATCGACACGTATTAAAGCTCATGGCTTATCGTCGACCGTATAACTTGGAGTTTTAATAATCCTACCACACCTAGAAAAAATAAACATTGATTTAAAGATGTTAAACCAGCGAACCGAACCTGCGACACCATGTCTTTTACATTGCTTCTAGTAGAACAAGAGACTCATATATGTTTTATTTCGTGTCTAGAAACATACAACATACTTAAACAAGTTTTCATATAATATTTAAAAATTATGTCTTTTCTTATTCAAATTTTTTCATACATATTATATACGTTATATATTAAAGAGACCACCTCAGAGACTATGTCATTCTTCAGAGACATGTTAATGTGTCTTTGTCAGGAAGTTAACGCTCACTTCAGTGACCAATGCGAATAAAAAACCATTTCGTCTGGTTCAGTTGATACTGTACAATAACCATTATACTGTGTGCTTTTAGATCTCACAAAAACGCAAACTTAAGCAAGGTTATGAAATTAATTTCGTCCTAAACAAGTAATGTTGATATAATGTCTACCCCGTGACCACGGCTGCTGCAAAGCATCCGAAACGTCGGGTGTAGTTAAAAATAATTTTCAAACAAGTTTAACTAATATATCGCGTTTTAAACCGTTAAAGTGTTTTATTTAAATGTCGATATACCTATGTGTTAATCAGAATTGCACCTAATTATTATTGTCTATATCGCAGTCGTTTGATAAAAGGCCGCGTTTTTAACCGTTTTTTTTTTTTTAAAAATTTAAAATACTTACATTTAAATAAAAACACTTTAAACTGTTTAAAAAGCGAAATATGTTTAAAAAAAACTGCTAAGCCGCCCTTACGGATGCTTTGCAGTTTTCCCCTCTAGACTCATGACGGCTGTCTATTTTATTTCGAGTTTCAAACTGGTAAAAGTGTTTTATTGAAATATATTAGTTATACCCAGTGAAATGGTTAACTTTACCTTAATTTTACACTTGTTAAATCCCTCCCTATTACTAGTTGTAAAATTACTAACCATGTAATTGCTCTATAATAGATCTTATCACTTTTTACGCTTTTTGCCATAGCGATCTTCGTATGATTAATTTTCACTAGAATTATCTTACCCGTGCTATGATTAATTTCCATAACAATACATCGTAGGCTGGAAGATGATCTATGATCATAGCTTGAGGTACAAACTAATTAAAAATTTGCCTGAACTGCCTCGAAGGGCTGAACAAAGAAAGACTAAGAATATGTTACCCCTAACCATCATTTACCAAAAGACACGTCAGACAAATTTAAATTATTTTTATTATCTGTCCCACCGATATACTTTTAAGGAAGTTTCTAATCCCCAGACTTAGTCTCTTAATAAAACCTGGTTTTTCGCGTTTTGATTTCCATCAAAGATTAATATAGCTATTAGCAAACGGTCTTTTGCCATATAAAGTATTTAGGCCAAAATTTAATTACCATAAAAACGGTACTTGTGAGTCTTAAAAAAATAGGCATAAAATGTCGAGGACATTTTTAAGTTATTGAAAAAAAGAATAAATCTTTCCTGCATAATTTTTGGGTATCTTGAACCGTTTTCGCACCGGTTTTTCTAATTTTTCCACTGTTTCGTCGCTCCCATTGGTCGAAGCATTTACTTATAAATTGATTATTAAGACATCGGGTCTGGTGGGTTCCGAGCTCAACCGATAAAACATACATTTCGTTAGACAACAAACCCGTCAAAAAACAAATCTCACTGTGATTGCACAGACGTTTTGAAAGCTTACAAATGGGAGGTTTCCTTCGATTAGACACGCTGGCACACGTTCTTGGGGCAAAGGTGTGAATCGACATTTAATAAAATAATTTATCAGACGCTGATGTGATTTTAATGACCAAGAAGCGAACGGTCGCCTTTTTGCGCCAACTGCAATATAATAGCCTCAATACAGTTACCTTCCACGAATATTATCACGTGTCATGATATTTTTAACTGAGTTTATTGCGCCCTTCTAAAGGAGAGACGTGTGTAATTTTAAATTTAAATCATCGTACTATATTTCGTTTACTTCATTAACCAATATCCATAAATATAGATGTTTACATCTATAATAGAATTAAGTAATGGAAATCGGTCAACATACATTTTGTTAATGAAAAAGCAATAATCTTTTTCATTTAATTTTACAGATTAACCAGACCAAATCGGAAATAACTATTGTATAACTTATGTAGTTCATGTGAGTAGTGCACATTTAAACAAAACACTTTAACGGTTTGAAACGCGAAATATATTCGTTATTAGTTAGTAATTTATTTAATGTGAAAAAATCATTGCTCATTTGAGTGCTTTTAGATTATAAATTCTGCGGCCATGTTTATAGTCCAACTCCAAACTTGTATACGACTATTTACGTCATATATTAATAATGTGTTTATTTAGCAATACAAAACTCTATAATTCAAAAGTGCATATCATAAATCGTACAACCCGATGTTTTGCATTGATAGCGGGTACCCGTTATCGAGAGACAATCAATTAAAGCTTAGCAATTCGATTATTGATTTCGTAATTAAAACGCATTGGTGGGTGTGACTGTTGCGTGCAAGCAAATGCGAGCTTTGTGTTACAATGTTAAAAGCACGCGGTACGATTATGTCGTATCGTATTTACATCTTACGACATTGGGAAGAATTTGTTTAGAAACTAAATACATATCTCTATAGGAGAAGAAGCCTTTCCAAGAGTCAATAAATAACGTGTTAACCCTTAGTTAGATGACGCCTCTGTAGCTAAATGGTTAAACGACTAACATTGTTAAGCGCTAGATGGCCTGGGTCCGAAACCGGAGAAAACAATTAATTGTTTCGGACAGAAAACAGAAGTCTGATAAACTACTTTCCTGTAAAGAAAATTGATCAGAAAGACTTTAGTTCGATCTGATGGTGGCAAGTGTCAATTCAATAAAGATTACATTAATAGTGTGCAGTTCTTATTTAAACACGCAATATTACGTCTTCTGGCTGCTTCCAAAATCTTTCACAGTTGGATCACAGTATACGTTGGTATAACTATTTAGCACAAGTCGTGTGATTGTTATCCGTCTTCAATCATCCGTACATTTCTTAAAACGTTTCTGATATGTTTTCCCCCCGAGACCACGGCTATTGCAAAGCCGAAACGTTAGAAAGTAGTTAAGATAATTGTAACTAAGTTAACTAATATATTTCGCATTAACAAATTAAAAGGCGTTTCATTTAATTGTATAGTTTTATCCATACATTAGTGTTGGCAATACAAAAAAGCTCAAAGCATACTTTTTCGTCTGTCTGTGTATACAAAACTACTAGAATACGAAACTTAATAAAAAAATAGTGTTCATACATTTAAATTATGTCGTAACGACATTGTTGCACTTAATTTGAACCGAACCATATTTCAATACAGACATGTTATTCTCTTTCTTCTTAATAAACATAGCTTTAATTACTTAAGTGACTATACTGATAATTAAAGAGTTCAATTTATAATTGGGTAGTGCGATGCAAGCTATCTAAATGACTACAATAACTTAATTACTTAGACTTCATATCACAACTATAAACACTTTTTTTTTATTTTAGCTTATTTTAGTGGGTTTCTAGAAGTTTTCTGTGTCTATTACTGTATTACTTCAAGTAGTTGATTAAATATCTGTACCTTACCTTATCGAAACTATTCTGTTTTTCTAGGATTTTAATTAACACAATGATCGGGAACGCGTTTAACGGGACTATTTTATACATATACAACTATTAAATTCAACAATTTGAATAAAAATAAGTATTCCAGTTAAAACACTAAATGTGTGACGGGCTTGTGGTTTAATGGTAGTAATATACCTATACAGCTTTTAAATAAAAAACTTTAACGGTTTAAAACGCGATACATTAGTTAAACTTATTTCAAAATGATTTTTCACTTCGTCCCGATATTACGGATGCTTCGGAGTCTCCCCGTGCGCTGCAAAATTTTATTTAAATGTGTACTACTCGCATAAACTATATACACGTCTTGTCTAAGCAATTTTACATGGTACACCTCTGTTACAAAAAATATAACTGTATTTTAAATGTCTTGGGTGAAAGACAGCAAGAGTACGATATACGTCTTCCTGCGTAAAAGGATTATTATAATAATTTTACGCGCCGTCGACGGCGTTTTACACAATTGTATCGTAAAAATATGTATCTCAGTTGTATACGGACGGTCAGGCCTCATGAATAGCGGCAATTAAGGGCCGGCAACACAATGACAGCGATCATAATGTAATTATTCACTGCCATAACACTTTTTGCTCAAAATACTGTTTATTTTTTTCCTGTACGAGGTTTGAGGTTAAATTTAAAATTCTTTACTTAAACGAAAAAAAAATGTCTTTGAGTGTTAACGGATTATTGAAAAACATAATACCTAACTCGTTTAGTGTTATCTAAAAGTGTCTAAGTTAGCTTTATTGGTTTCGGAAAAAAAAACCCAAAAATTCCTTTTCCTTCTAAGAGCAGAAAATGGATAAACAAACATACAATATGTATGCTAAAATGATGCGATTGTGTATCAATATCAAAGACAAGGTGTTATTTTTTCAAGAGATATTATAAAGTTGTTATGTATACAGATAAGACCGTTTCCGTGGCGCAATGGTTGACGTGGGGTCTCCAGTTCGAATCATTAACAAAGAATAACGTTTTGATCGGATCACAGAAGTTCTATTATTTCTCTGTAACAACAAATTAAACGGACACAGAAATGTGTCTCCGCCGTGCCCTCAAATTTCCCAATAACATGTCTTATTTCAAATTAAGTACCTCAAAATTATTTGAACAATTATGTCTGGGTAAAAATTGAATTACAATCTATTTTACATAAACGTTTCAAACCTTCGTGTCCGAGTTATTGCCTATACATTAATTAAATTTTAAAATTCGATTCGCGAATGAGTCGGCGCGGGCGCAGTAATTGGTCGATTCCGATGATTGCTTTATTGGGACCCAAGATATCGCGTTCGTATTATAAACGCGTTAAGCTAAATTCAATTCACTGCAAAATGTATGGAAGTTTAAGTTTAACGTAATAGATATTTAAATAGTAAATTAATCTAATTTTTAGCATTTATATATGGGATTATTATTCTTGTGTTAAGTTTTACCTAAAAACCAAATAAATAAAGATTATCACGAAAGATATATTTTATTTCTCTTTATCAAATTTATCAACTATTTCTTTTTATGCGAAACTTAATGTTCTATATTTAAAAAGGCAACAGTAAAAAGTGATAACAAGTCGTTATCGCGGCAAAATTTTATTTAAATTGCTCTCATAAGGTCTAATGACTCAGATGTTCACTCAGTTAATTCTTATCTGCCTTTGTTCAAACGGGCCTGAGAAATAATTAGTAGGTAAGTGATAACGTTTAAAGTAAATAAAACAATATCAGTATCTCTCTATGTTTACTCTACATCATAGACTGATGTTTGTTTGTGTTGTCAGTAAAAATTTTATGCTCAGTGTGATAAAAATTCATTAACGATTAACAGTTTTATGTAATCCGATCATGTTTTATTTGTCTACTAGTATTCTATTTATTTATTCCTAACGCGTATTTTAACCATTGTTCCATTTGATATAATAGTCATTACCGATCCTTTATTTGGTGACAAATCAAGGAGACAATACTTGTATATAAGTCGCAATAGTTGCTATTTATTTAAATTTTAAGCACCGCACTATGAGCAATCTATATATACGCAGACAGCAGTTTTAAATGTGCTAGTCATTTTATAGTTTTGTTTGCGATAACAAGTGTATAGTGTTTCAAATTGTAAAACTATGGCTGAGTTGAACGAGATACCGAACGAAATTAAAGCGTCAGCTTTGGAATTAATCGGTAACACACCTCTAGTGGCCCTGGATCGTTTACATCCTGGTCCAGGACGTATACTCGCTAAATGTGAGTTCATGAACCCTGGAGGCTCTTTGAAATGCCGTTCATCGCTACATATGATCCAAAAAGCCCGTGAACGAGGGGATCTACAGCCAGGTGGTGAAGTCATCGAAATGACGTCTGGAAACCAAGGCTGTGGTCTCGCTGTTGTCTGTGCAGTTTTAGAACATCCACTCATCGTAACAATGTCCAAAGGAAATAGCATTCAACGTGCAATACACATGGAAGCCCTCGGAGCTAAGTGCATCAGATACCCCCTCGTAGAAGGAACATATGGAAACGTGACGTTCGCTGACGTCGAAGAAGCTTTAAATGCCGCAATAAAAATGTCAGAGGACTCTGGCGCATTTTTCGTTAAGCAAATCGCGAATACGGACAATGAAGATGCACATTATTGTACAACGGGACCTGAAATATGGAGACAGACGGGACATCGAGTTGATGCGTTTGCCACCGTCGTCGGTACCTCGGGGACATTTTCTGGAGTCTCATCGTATTTGAAAGAGCAGAACCCCGATGTAAAGTGTTACGTTGTTGAACCAGAAGGTAATCAGCCGTTAAAAGGATGCCAGATAACTAAACCATTACATTTATTACAAGGTGCAAGTTATGGAATCATTCCTGATCTATTTAAAAAAGATTTGATGGAAGATAGCATCAGTGTTACAGATGATGAGGCTGTGTACTATAGGGATCTAATTGGATCCAAAGAAGGTTTATTTGTAGGATATACAAGCGGTGCTAATGTCGCTGCAGCTGTTAAACTACTGAATTCAGGAAAATTACCCGAAGATGCGTGGGTTGTTACCATTCTTTGCGACACGGGTTTGAAGTATACTCCAGTGCCTGAGTCCCTAATTGAATAAGCCAACTATTTGTAAATAGTCACTCTTTATATAAACAAAATATATTTTATAGTACTTACAGTATTATTTTACCACTGATACAGTCTAGGGACGAAAATAATTTCATTTTAATAAAATTTATGATCGCCAATGTTTGTTTGAGTTTGATGGAATCGTCTATCAATAGGATTACCTCTGATCACTTGGATTTATAATACGATGTGGGCGTTTCGACCTTCGGGTGACCGACGAATTTAAATAACTTGTTTCGGCTTCCACTTTTGACATAACCCTAATTTTTTAAAGGTGTCCGTTTCTTTCCCTCCCGAATTAGTTTCTAGCTGTCTCGTTCTGTCTGTTTCCAAATAAATTCTGTTAGACCCCTGCAAAGCGGTGTCGTCGTAATAAAAAATTAAGGCGACGCAAGCTCAGGTAGCACGTTTTTTGCTCAGTTTCTTTCGCTCGTTTAATTTGTGTTTATGTTGTTTTGTGAGTCTCCGTTGGCAACTTGCGCACGAGTCGAACGTATGCAAAGCAGGTACTGCAAGATTCAGTGTGTTGAGATAAATCTTTATTGCTTTTGGTTAGCTATCAAATAACTTAATTCAGTGCTCAAAATAACTGGCTTGCGCAATACAATGAGTATACTGTGTGCTTTGTATGCGAAACACGAAGCGCATGTTATCCTAATATTCGAGTTATACAGATATGGCCCGGCTCTAAGTAGCTCTAAGCATTAAATTTCTGGCTGGCTAGTAGTAATAAGAATAATTTAAATAACAAAGAACATATTATATTATATAATAATATATTATATTATGTAATGAAATTATATATAATAACAAATAACATATTAATATATATAATTCTAATTCTAATTTTTAATCTATGTGTATATCTATCCCCTTAAGTCTAAAGCCGAAATAGTGCTATCACTATTTGCAATTGAAATAACTTTATCCGTGGAAATAATTTCTTAAGTGATGAATTTTAGATTGGATTACAATAAAATTATAATACGCATTTCCCTCGTATTATGGAGCCGCGAGAACAAAGACTTGCGGCTTGGCTCGTAAAGCAAACAGATTGCATCTCGAAATGGGACGTGCGGGGTATGCATGAATAAGATACAACGGACAACCATAGACTATCTACCAAACGTAACTTATAAATTCTGACTCTAAAATATATTAAAAAAAAATACCAATTCAAACAGTTAAATTAAAAAAAATCTATTCGCCAATGATTTTTATATTTTTATCTAACTTCAAAAGTTAGTTTTTATTTGGATATATGCTTCCTTATATTTGTTGTTGCATAAATAATGAAATAAGTATGGCTAAAAAAAGTATCAGAGATTACAATCATTGACAGGGAAGTAGAAGGCTTCCGTGCCCAGTCGACCTAATTATTATATTATCATTTGAACCCAGGAATTCTCGCGCTTAAATAACTATATACTAAAAATGCCTTAAACTATTTTGTTACAGCGGAAAATAATTTACTACTCTTCAATTAATTAAGTAGCGACTCGAATTCTTAAATTATAACTTTAAGTAAATACCTGAGCTATTTAAGTACAAGTCTTTTCGGATGTTGTTCGGGGCTTTTTACGTTTCAACCATTAAAAAAGTTAAATATGTATGACTCGCGTAAGGAAATAAATTGTTTTTGAGTAGACTCGCTGTTTTAAAGGAAATTAAGCAATAAAGCAACGGGCCTCGTTACGGAATATAGGCATGTATTGTGGAGATTAATCTTGCCAGCACAAAAAGCAAGGTTTCGAAAGTGTCTTGTACCTATTAGCCAAGTCCTGGATAAGCGTTCGCGTGGGAAACCTAACATTCCATCCGAACATGTAAGTGCTGATAAAAACGGATTGTATGATCATTACGATGTTAAAATTAATTTTGTGGTCAGTGCAAGGATTGTAGTTATGCATTAAAGTAACGAGAAATAATATTTGTACGAAATAATTCATATAAATAAGTTCTTTTTCATTTTTGTACAAATAATTCTTAAGCATAAAAGTTAGAACTTTTAAAAATATCTGTAAAAAAAAATATTGTACGTTGTTACGCGAGTAATAATGATATAAAACAGTTTTATTGGTTTGATATACGAAATATTACATACATATTTGACTAAATCTACTTATCATATTTACCCATGACCTATGACATACAAAGCACGATCTAGGTGGTTAAAACGGTTTTATTTAAAAGATAACTTTATTCTTTCGAAACAGACTACCGCCTTCTTAAATGACGCCATGTTCTTTTAAACTTATTTCATTTACCACGCGAGAAAAACTTGCTTCTCGTCGTTAACTACAATAATTTTAAAAGCTCAACTGTAAGTACTAATTATACTTATTAAACCCCAAGAGTTCTCTGTAAGAGGCATAAATACTGGCTTCACGTTAAACGCATAATTATAAATAATTATTCGCAATAAAATATGTAACCTAACATCTTTCCTTTATTACTTGTATGTGTTTTACCCATTAATTTAGCTGTCGGTTAGCACTCAAAGTTAGGGGAAGTGTTATGTAATGGCTGAACATGATATAAATATTTTTATAAATGTTTTCATATATATTACTACTTATATGATCTACTTCAACAATAACTATTTTTACTCATTTATAAATAGCAGCTACTAGTACCTAGACTAATACTAAGGTCCTCCATCATACATCTGGAGGACTTTGATATTAGGACACCCTCCATCTTCAGTCCCCGTGACCACGTCTGCTGCAAAGCCGATACGTTGGGCCGTAGTTAAATTAAATTAAAATAGTTAACGAATATATTTCAAATCGTTAAATTCGTTATTTAATATATTTTATTTAAATGTGTTTTTCTCGCGTAGGTAGGTTAAGTTTTATTACAAAAATTGTAAGACATGATTATTAAGTACGGATCGTAAATATCATTTGTGCCTTATTAATTGATTTCCCATTTGGTTTTGAAGGCCTAGTGAGAAGAATATCGTTTTCACCACCCACAATGCTATAAAAACTCATGTCATTTTTTACTTAACAAAATTAGCTTTTGACAAAAGCGATTTAAAATCACGGCTAATTGTTGCCAAAGATTGCTTCTTAGCGAGGTGCTGGATAAAGGTTATTAGAGTGCTATAAATCACAAGGAGGTAAGGCGCGCCGCAGTTTCGGATCTACAGACTGTACAAGAATACGAATACAATTTATACAATGCTAACAGTCGCACAAAACAATATATCGAATATATAATTATATCGTTCTCTTACTTAAACAATATGACTTTGTTAAGAAGTTGACTCAATAAAGTACAGTTAAGATTTGTGTTTAAAAAAATGTCTGAAAACGATTTGTTTCCATAGATGTTTTAAATCTAAAACTCATAGATATTATGGTTCTGGATATGACTATAGCATCCATAATCCAGTTAACACAACGCGTTTTGCTGTTCATGAAATAAACAGCATGACATTTTATCTAATTTCTTGTCGTTACTGCAAGTGTTCTATAGACTGTGGCGTGTGGGTGCGCACGAGTGGCTCACGGGTGTGCGGGGCGAGGCAGCGAGGGGGGTTACAGGTCAGGCGGGCCGTGAGAACGCGCGCGCGCCGCCGGTTCCCAGGCACGCGCCGCCCGCGCCCGGCGCGCTTCCTACAATCATTTGAATATCTATATTTCTATAAGATTAGCAAATACGTACGGGATAGAAACTTATAAAACATTATCTGTTACTAGCTTTCAACGACTTCGACTTCACGCGGAATATGTTATTTTAGCAATCACGTTTGCTTTTGTAGACCTCCTGTTCAACTCTATAAATTTAAGCTTTTACCCACGACCTCATCCGCGCCTCGTCGTCCTTGCAAGTCAATCTTAAAAGATGGACATATACTGACTTTTTTTAGATTTTAAGAGGAATTATTCTTTCATACATAATTTTAAAAGAGTTTCGCAGCGGAAGGGAAAACCAGAAGCATAAATAATTTTCCCTGCTGTTTTTGCTAATTTCCCGCTGCTTCTTCGCTCCTATTAGTTGAATAGTGGATTTTAGCCTTCCTCAATAAATGCTCTAAATAGTTTTTCAATTCGAACAGTAGTTCCAGAGATTAGACAAGTTTTTACAAACTTACAAACTCTTTAGCTTTATATATTAGTATAGATAGATAGAGAGTTGAATCGTGCACAATTCTGAAATTAAATTTTATTTATATACTCGGCCACAAATTACAGAATTATACACGTCAAGTATAATTCACTGGGTCGTGTGTGCCTCACGAGACGATTCGTGACACGGTCTCAGCATGAACATCGCAGAACATTATGCATTGCATGAGAGCCTAATAAAGTGACAGCACCAACCTACTCTGCAAGGTAATTATAATAACTATTGGAATTTTGAATAAACACGACATCGGATTTAGTGAAGCACCGTTTTGCCAAGTTACGAAAGTATGTAGTTTTTAATGACAGAGATGGACAGAAAAACAAAGGGTATTATTATTGATGGAAGGTAAATAGCCTTAGCCAGCTTTGGACGTAAGGAAATCCACAGACTGTAATCAAAACCCAAAAGAACACTTCACTTCACTTCGTCTGAGGGTTTGTGGCATCAATCGAGTCAACAAAAATAAAAAAAAGCTACCTTTAAGGATCGTTTAAGTTTACGCAAGTAGTACCTACATACCCATTTCAACGGTTTAAAACACAAAATATATACCAATGACCCATAGCTATTTACAATTATATTAATATTTTAACTACGACACGGTGTTTCGGATGACGGCTGCTGCATAGCAAAAATAAATTGTAAATAAGTTAACTAATATACTGTGCGTTTTAAACTGTTAAAAGTGTTTTATTCAAGAGCTAGCTTAGCTTTATTACTGTATTAAGAGTATGTAGGTATTACAACACTGGGTTTGTGAAGGCAGCACGATAATTATAACGATGTTGACTTTACACAGACGAAAGATTTCAACGCGCTGGCAAATATTTGAATAAGGTTTTGAAAATAAGAGGCTCGTTATTTAAAGTGACCGTGCATTCATATTTATGAGTTCGTTTGTGTATTTTATTAAATATTTTAGCAAAAAGCGTTGTTAAAATATTCACGCGTTTCGTTCCTGTAATAGGTATTTAATAATAATTATAGTCTTTATTTACCGAATGTTTACATTGTTAAACCTTATAAAATATTTTATATCTGTAATTTCGGTGTGTCCGACAGACAGGGGCCCCCAACTTTTTTTTCTGGGGTTTTTTTTATTTCCTTTTATTTTTTCTTTTCCCAGGGGGGGGGGGTGGGGGGGGGGGATTTTTTTTAAAAAAATTTTTTTGGGGAAAATTTTTTTTTTTTTGTAAAACCCGGGGGGGGGTTTTTTTTTTTTTTTTTTTTTAAAAAATTTTTTTTTTTTTTTTTTTTTTTTTTTTTTTTTTTTTTTTTTTTTTTCTTTTGTAGTCCTAATTTTTCAATTTTTGAATTTTTTTAAACATTCCCAGCTACATTTTGAAACGTGATCTTAAATGACTGGTAGGAATATAGAAATTTCGCCCGGGGTCACGAACCACCGTTCACAGATGAAAAAGTCGTAACGCTTAATCGCGTTTCGGTTTCCGTCTGTGGATTTCCGATTACCCAAAGCCAAAATATAGTTTGGATGCTACCATTCAGTGAACTCCATGCCATGTTTGTCCTCCTCTATAACTAAAAATAAATATATCATAAATTTTCTTCTTAATAAATATGCTTTTTTTAAATTTAGTTTAAAAGATATATTTTATTCTAACTTAAAATGTACTTGTATTTTAAAGACGATTCACGTTATTGCGCTTTGTTAAAACAAGCTAGCGTCAAAGTAATATGATAAAAGACAAGAAGATAACGTTGCGGAATTAAATCAGTTGAGCGGTGAGCAGGGTCTGAAAGGCGTAACTGATGCAAAGACAGACAGACATATCCCCACTTCAGTCACGGTTCTGATTCAAACTTGTCTTTCGCCATCATGCTTTGCCGACAAAGAAACGCAAGTTTCATGCAAGGATATTCTTTATTTACTGCTTGCGAAATTTTCAATTAAAATTAAACCAAAATTAAAATTTGCTTTTCTCTTAATCTTTTTTCCCCGCCCGGTTTTTTTATTAATTACACTAAAACTATTTACATATTAGAATTACAACATAAGTTTAGTAGCATTCAAGCTTCCCCCGAAAATGAGAAGGCCACTATTTTTTATGATGACTTTGGATATTCGAAAATCCATAGACTGAAAGCGAGTGTTTTTAAATCCCTTCCTATTTAATTTAGAAAAATTATAAATTGTTTAGAAATAAAATGTTGGACCCGATGGGGTTCGAACCTGCGACCCGTCGATTATTAGACGTATAGTGCTACCATTACACCAACGAGTCTAAATCTAATTTTATATGCCATGTAATATAAGTTGCCCCAACATAACTCTTTGTAACACCGTCTAATATAAATTGTTCTTCGTAAACGTAAAAAAAATATAAATGGATCTATTACAAAATAAAGCTACCGATTTAATAACTTAATTGTAGTAACTTAGCCGTAAGCGATAATTGTGATTGTTTTGCCCACGTATGATAGTGTAATTATAATTAGAGATGTGCAAAGGCAAATTGAACTAGCTCAAACGGATCATTTGATTCAAATATATATATAAATACTGCCTATAGTTTACCGATAGTACACATTTAAATAAATAAATTAATTAGTTTAACTAATATATCGCGTTTTAAACCGTTAGTGTTAGTTTAACTAATATATCGCGTTTTAAACCGTTAAAGTGTTTTAGTTAAATCAAATATATATTTTTTAGTTTTACTAACTAAAGAGCATAAGCAAACTAACTAAGTAACTAGGAGTTAAAGCTGTTTGGAACACGAAAAGTATCTTCACCGCATGCAGTAAAAAGTATATATTATATTTCAAAAATATACACATAGCTCAATACTATAGTTATATTATTAGTTGATTTTTGACATCTAAAGTAGACATTAAACTTATTCCGGCCAAATGCGGAACTTCGGTTACGGAGTTTGAAAGTTCGGTTAAAAACAATGCGATCCCAATTACGACAGGCCGTAATAATAAAATAATTAAAGTATGATTGAACTGTGCAATTTAATGTAACGGGTAATTGTGGGATCGTGCTCGAACATTGTTCGTTTACCCTTAAGGTGAAATGGCGATTATAAAAAAACTGTAATTTATTTCTTGGAGCTGTTATTCTATAATTCGAGTAAGCCTCCGGCGCATAATAACTGTAATAAACAATGTATCAGTACCCATAAGTCACATGGGACTGAGCCACGCTGAGCTTCCATTATAAAAATCCTCCAACGATTTCTTTAATATCAAAACACTATTGTGTTTTAATCTGCCCATAAATAAATGTGGAATTTTAATATAGAATATCGTTCGGTTATACCCTATCGTAACTTAGATCTTCAGATAAAAATAAATGCCTTTTACAGCATATTTTCCATTATTAAGGAATATGTTTTTATTTAAACAAGTTATGTAAATACTGTCACGCGATATTTTAGTTGTAACTAAGTCTCCCCGTGACCACGGCTGCTGCAAAGCATCCGAAACGTCGGGCCGAAGTTAAAAATAATTTTCAAATAAGTTTAACTAATTTACGTTATAGCGCTTTTTAAACCTTGTAAAAATTGCCTTGCCATCTAAGTCCACTTGATGCCTGATGCAAGATGCCATGTCGATCCACTTTGGCTATGACATTCGAAAAATCCGGAAGATTGAAGTAAGTACACTTAGAGCTACTGAATTTCAACAATTAGAAGGTCGATACAAGTTTTGAAGCTTCTTCAAAACTTGTATCATACTATACATATTCCACACGTTTGTCTAGTAATCGTTTATATCTTTATAACAAATTTTCATTCGATTGCGCCAGATGTGCAACCTGAAATGGATAGGTGATTGAGATTTGTCAATTTGTGTAGACTAACTGGTAGCATATGAATTTGAGCCGTTACGAATCCTGTCAAAAATGATGGCATTTTCCATATTTGTTTGTAAGTGTACAATTGTATTTTAGAATTTAGTGACACACACTTTTTGTAAATATTACCGACACCGGGGCATTTGAGTTGACACTCAGAATTAGGGAGTGGTAAGGCATAACGCAGTTCGAAGAGAACATATTACGAAATAGCTTTATATAAATTAGCCCAGTTTGATAAGAGAGACAGAACAGAACTTTGAGGTCATGGAATCATGACACACTGGTGCCATCGATTTTTTTGAATCATTCAATCTTCAATTCAAGAAAATTCCTTACGTTCTATAAAATTTATATAAGTTGTTACGTAGTTTAGAAATGTCGTCCAAGGCGTTTCTTTATTATCATCTATGTATTTCACTTCGTTATTGTCTTTATTACAAAGTGTACTTGACTACATCTTGCGTCCTCATGACAGCCAGAACAAGTCGGCAACCCGTCCTCACGTTCTTCAAAGCCCCACGAAGTCGGGGGGCTAGTCACGATCTTATACTTCACTTAATTAGCGTAAATAAGACAGTTTTGCGAATGAAAAAACAAACGCATCGCGCGGGGTCGACGTTTCCGAAACCGGATTGAAGTGTCGTTGGATGGCGTCTTATTCCACACTTTATGCC